TGAGGACTCGTCGTACTCTTACGCAGGCCTCAAGGGCCCAGGACTCTGGCGCAGAGCAAAGCAGGGCGAGGGCGGCCACTGCTGGGCGCAGTTGCATCTCATCTCCAAGGTCTGCTCTGTCGATGAAGCCGCTGTTGGCCCATGTGCCGGGTTGGGACGCCATGTGCCTCCAGGCTCCCAGAAGCTCGCCCACAAGCCAGGTCGGGGTAAAATCCGTGGGGCCCGGCTGAGCTGGAGAGTAGAGGTGCTCTGCGATTGGGGCGTATCGCACGCCTGCCCTGACCAGCTGAAGTTGCAGGGTGCTATCAAGGAGGTCGAGGGCGTGCCTGTTGAGTGGCTGCCCCGTTTCCGCGGTGGGGTGACCCTGGTGGGGGTCGCCCGACTGCTGCGCGCCTCCGCTGTAACTCCACGGGTTGGACAACCTCAGGCAGGTGATGCAGCGTCGGCCCGTCGGGTCTCGAAGCATCCACGATCCGCAGAAGTCGCACCGCTGACTCGGGCAGAAGAAGTCCCGCAGCAACAGGCGGTGCGCCGTGGTGGACCAGGGCCACGCGTAGTCATTTCTGTCGCCACCTTGGATCGGTACTCCGGGGATGCCAGTTGTGCTGGCCGTCACTCCTGTTAGAGCTGGCTCTGCTCATGGTACGGGGCCTCTACCTGATTGTCGTCTAGAGTGTACGTCGTCGCCAACCCGTTCGAGATTGCCCCTCCTGGTGGCCCACTGTCTGATGTCCCTGTGGTCCGGGAAATGAACTATAGTTTGTCTGCGCTCGTGAATTAAGACTCTGTACGCGTACGCTCTGGTCTCGCCGTCCATGGGGTCTTGGGCACCGTCTGGCCGGTTGGGGCCGCTGCCGTGCAGTGGTACAGCATCACGGGGAGACCTGGTGGGCGAGAGCATGTTGTTCGAGTCGTATCCATTCGGAGGCTCCATCCCGATGTCGCAATGGTGCGCTGCGGTAGTCATGACGGTGTACTCGAGACGTGCTAGTTGCATTTCCACCACGGAGGGGTCGTCCGCGTCCAGTCTTTCCATCCTTACAAAGGGGTCATGAGTGATACTCGCAAAGCGGAAGGCTAGCACCTGAGGTTGAGTACCCCCTAAGCGTCCTTCGTGGTCCCCGCCTGTGACTGACCAGACCAGCCAGGAGAGGTCCATGATGGCGAGGGCTGGCGCCGAGGTGGCTCGCTGAGATCCGACCCCGGGGAGGAGAGCGTCGTTTGGGACCGCTCGCAGGGGGCTGCCTTCCGTATGCCAGGATGACCCTGGCGATGCCCCCTCCACGCGTGGTGGGTGAGGAGCTCCAGGTTTCTGGTTTGGTCTGCGGTTCTAGGTGCCCCTCGGTCGGGGATTCTACGCCAGGGGCCGTCGATACGTACTAGGTGGCGACGGAGGGCATTCATGGTGCCCCCCCCTGCCTGTGACCCTAGGGTCAGCGACGCGTGGCCCACGCATGGGTCCATCAGCCTCTCGACTGACTGCCCACGCTGCGTTCGTGTGTCCGGTGGCGTCCATCCATCGAGCGCGCATGTCGGTTGCATACTGCCCCCTCTCTCCATGGGCCTGGCTGGTGCCGTCCTCAGCGTCAGCGGGGGCGCCCTGGCTAGCCATCCGAAGTTCCTCCTCCAGGGCTAGGTCTGGAGAAGGGAAGGGGAGCGGGATGGGCGTGCTGGGCGTTCCGGGGGCCGCGCGCCTCAACGCGAACGGAGAGCCGTTGGCAGTGCTGATGAGGGGCCCACGGCCCACCCCTTGGAACGGGTCTTCGCGGCTATGGCCACTGCCTCCCGGCATGGCGTCTATATGCCCCAACCCAGGGGGAGGGCCAGGAGAGGAGTGGATGGGACGGGAGCGGGTAGGCGAGGAGGGGGAGACGCAGGGCAGTTCAGCGGCGACGATCGGGGGTCCGATGCGATCGATCAGATCGACCAAGTTGCCCACTTCGTGGGCAGGGTCGGATGGGACCCTGCTGGCGTCGGGCGCGCGGGGTCGACCCGTGGGAACGGCCGTTGTCGATCCCAGGGAGGATTGGCCGTGGCCGCTCGTTTCGGCGCTGTCTACAGGCAGGCGTGCCCCTCTGTAGCCCCTGCCGAGCGCGGCGTTCAGTGTGCTCGTCGCGCCCGCCCCAGCCGTTTCCTGTTCATCTCTTCCTGGCTGAAGGCCAGTCCCATCGGTGAGGTCAACGACGTAGGGCTGGGTGCCACTGCCGTAGTGACGCCCGTGTCTCCAGGGAGGGGGGCGGCGGTGTCATGGCGGCAGCCACCTGGATCGCCTGTAGCGCCGACTGCGCCAGCCGCACCATCATCGACGCGCCCTCTCAGGTTCGGCCCCGTTGGGGAGCCTAGCGCTTCCATGACGACGTCGGCGACATCGGCCGTGCGCCCGCCGCTGGCCTGGGAGCCCGCCTGCTGAGGGAGGCCCTGAGTTGCTTCACCAGGGATGCCTGGGGGCTCGATGCAGCCGCCACTCATGGCCACGGTCCCTGCGGCGCTCTCAGCATCCATGGGCATCGTCCCTGGTTATCGAGCTGAAGGCTCGTCCCTTCTGCAACTGCCAGATACGCCTTGTGGACTCGAGCTGCAGGTTCGTCTCGCCTGCGACTCCCGAGCTGAAGGCTCGTCCCTTCCGAAAGAGTCAGATACGCCTTGGAGTCTCGAGCTGAAGGCTCGCCCCGCCTGTGACTCCCGAGCTGAAGGCTCGTCCCTTCTGAAACTGTGAGATACGCCTTGGAGACTCGAGCTGAAGGCTCGCCCCGCCTGTGATTCCCGAGCTGAAGGCTCGCCCCGTCTGTGACTGTCAGCTTGGGGGGCGGATGAAGGACGGGAGTCAACGGGATTACAGGGATGACCAGGGAGCTGATTGGCAGCCGTGCCGCCGTCAACGTCCATCTGTCCATTCAAAGACTCCCGAGCTACAGGCTCGTCCACTCCTGCTGCTTCGCGCGGCGCTCCCCGGGCTGAAGGCCCGTCTTCTGTGTGTACCACACTGTCGTGCCCGGGGGAGGCGGCGGGCGGAAGGCGGGGGCCGTCATGACGTCGGCTCACATCAGTTGGAGGGGTCGGGTGTGCGACCAGGACGACGGCCTCCACGGGCAAAGGATCGACCCCTTCGCAGCTGAAGGCTGCTCCTCTCTGTCTTGACGCGTCCAAGGGAGGGCGGTCGGCGGAGTGTGGGCGTGAACCAATGGGATGTGGATCGGGGGCGTGGGCGGACGGCGGTCGGTCCACCCACCCCTTTATCACCGCAGTCACCCCCTGGGCAGCCTCAAACATAGGCCATCCACCCTCGTCGGACAAGCTCCTGGGCCGATTTTCGAGAGCGCCTCTCTGCCGGGAGCTCCTGTGCGGCCCAAAAGGGCCTGAGCCTCTCGGGGGATGCTCTTCATCAGGAATGGGACCAAGGATCCCCGCGGTCCTGGTATCGCCGCGCGCGATCCAGTCCTGCCTTTCACCGCCAGGAGAGAAGGATATTGGACGCCCAGCCAGGGGCAGAGGAAGAGTCGGGGTAAGGGAGGGAAACAGATCTGGCGGGAAAGAGTCATTGCTGCCAATATCAAACCCAGGGAAGCGACTGAAGGTCGCAGTGTCACTGTGTCTCGCGGCGCTCACCGTGGCACCCTCGAGTTCCGTTCGGCTGAAGGCCGACTGTTCTCGTGCGTCTGCTGAGTTGACGGGTACGACCAAGGGATCCTCGGAGGCGATCCGATCGAGCCCATAGGGTCCCAAGAAGCGAGGGGCGACGGCTGCCCTGGCGGGATGGTGTCCTGTGATCCTGGGGGAGGAGGGCTTGAAACAGCCAGTACGTGGGCCCCCTGGCCCTCGACTAGGCTTCCATCTTCATCCGCAGGGTTTCCAGGGATCCTAGATCTGTCGCCGATCGGGTTCCCATCCATGCTAAGCCTGACCTGGCAGGCTGGCTGCCGCGCCGCGCCGCTGGGGGAGGTGTAATCCAGGGAGTCTGATATGGCCGAGGCGCGGCCCGGGGGCAGCGCGCGGCCCGCAAACTCCTAGGGGATACCCCCTTGGGCTGGGAGACCCGGCCGAGGGGCCAGGGCCCAGAGACGGCTTGAGCCAAGGGGGCTACGGACTGGTGGGGATGCGCGAAGCGTGAAGAATTGCGAAGCCTTTTCTATAAGACGTATGGGCCAGATGTTTGAACAAAGAATCGCTGCGCATGAACTCACGAAGCCGCACCGTGAGTGCGCGCGCGGTCCAACATGTAACATGCAGTACTAAGCGCGTGCCCACACAGATTACGTGGCGAAGTCCAAAACTGCTCGCTGCGGTCGCGCGTTGACTGAGACGGGATTCATTTTTGCACATGGGCTACATTGCGTGAGCGGGTTTAGAGAGGATACGTTCAAGCTCGGAGCTGCAAGGTGAAACTCGGGTCAAAGAGGGCAAGGTGACTCTGGAGAGGCTTAGGCAAATGCAACTATCGATTGGTTCGATTTCCAGGGCAGAGAGCAGGACCTGTCCGGATGGAACATCTGCCATCATGATGCCGCTGATGAATTCAAAGCGCGGGCGGTGATTAGACAGAACTTGCAAAAACCATCATTGCGTCACAACCTCGTCGTCAAGCCAACGAGTGGCTCTGAACAACACGTTTTTTTTTTCCGGGAGGGAAAAAGCAACATTATTCTAGCATCCACCGCTCACGCCGAGCTTCCGAGGCAAGAAAACTGTTTGGATAACTTGAATGTAGAGCTCGGCGCAAGACCTACCTTTTCGCGACCCGCCTTGAGCGCAAATGGTCCCACATTTCCGTCTGAACACCATGTCGTCTGGAAAGACCATGCAATCGACTCGTAGACATCCCAACCAATCCTCCGTCAAAACTCATGCAACGCCGCCCCTTCCCAGGACCAACTGCGACGAGACCCTGGGCACGATCACATGTCCCAACATCATCCTTCCACGCAACATCTCGCTGCGGCACAAGGCCGGAATGAACGCCCCGCGTTCTAATCGTGCGACAGCACAAGCTCCGCCGCGTTGCATTAATCGCGCACCTGAGCGTGCCGCGAGCGTTTCTTCACCATCCAGTCCAGACTCTATTGCGCGCCCACTGCCTGCCGCCAACGTTAACATGACTGCGACCGCTTAGACTCGTGTACCCAGTCTGCTACACACTCATCCCATTCACGAATGGATTCCCGCTGTCCGTCTGCCTCCCCGTCCCCGACGCCATCTCTCCTCCTCCTCCTCCTCCTCCTCCTCCTCCTCCTCTGACCCCCGAGCGCCCTCATCTCACCCCCTCCATCCCCGACTCATCGTCTTCGTGACCGGCTGTTCAACGTCCGTTCCCAAAAGGGCCTGCGGCCTGCCACAGAAGCACGGCAACCGCAACCGCCTGGGGGCGGGGGGGAAACAAGATATTAGTAAAGGGGAGAACCGGAGGAAACGGAGGTCGGACCAGGGGAGGACAGCATTAACACGAGGGCGAGCACGCCACATCCGCCACCGTGTCTTGAGCACGCACTGGAAAAACCCTTTGCAGATAAAGTTCCCTGCTCGCAAACTGGACTATCCTGAAAGGCATAAAACATGCCCAAACATTATCCCAAGGCTCCTTCCCATTTTTTTTGCAGGTTTCTAGGGGCCGGACCACATGAGCACAAACACAATCTTACGTTTTAGCTCTCATCTTGCGAGTGTCCAAGATGGCACGACAAGCCCCTGATAAAAGCCCAAGGTGGCTCAAAGAGGGATTCCAAGTCCCCAAGACGTCGCCCGAGGTCACCCGAAGGTTCGAAAATGAAAGCGTCCCTGAGAACCCTGACCCACAACCCGGACACGGTGGCAGATTGGTCCGAAGGCCATTCGACCTGCTTGGTACGGGGACGGAAAGCGCGTGTACTTCGTGAGGGCGCGAGGTCGCTGGATTACACAACTCTAATAAAAACCGTGCGAATACCAGTGAATCTTGTATTTTCGGAACTTCCTGGGGGTCCAGTGAAGGGCCGTTTTAGGCAGTGTTGGGGCCCTCTTGGACTGTCGTGGGGGGCTTGGGCCCTCTTGGGGACCTCCTGTGGCCCTTTTAGGGCCGAAACGGATGCGGGCATGCCATGCGGACCCTGCCGCTGGGGCCTTCGGTGAAATTCCACATGGGGCCACGGAACATGTGAGGGGTGAGCCGGATCGGTGCGGGTGCGCCATGCGCACCCTGCTGCTGGGCCCTTTGGTGGGGCTCCGTTTTATGGGGCCACGAACCGTGTGATGGGTGTGCTGAGACGGGTGCGCTTTCTGTTTGGGCCTTTGGTGGAGCTCCCTTCGGGACCACGAAACGTGCGAGGGATGTGCCGAAGCGGGTGTGGGTGCGCCCTGCGGACCACCCTGCCGCTGGGGCTGTCATGGGAGCTCCTTTCGGGGCCACGAAGCGTGTGAGGGGTGTGCCCAATCGGGCGCGGGTGCGCCATGCGGACCCTACCACTGGGGCCTTTGGTGGGGCTCCCTATGGGGCCACGAGGCGTGTGAGGAGTGTGCTGAATCGGTTGCGGGTACGCCATGCGGACCTTTCCGCTCGGGCCTTCGGTGGAACTCCTTGTGTGGCCGCGAAGCTTGTGAGGGGTGGCAACCATTGGTGCGACTGTGCCATGCGGGCGCTGCCCCTGGGGCCTTCGGTGGAGCTGCCTTCGCGGCCACGAAACATGTAAGAATCTGCCGGTTCGGGTGCGGATACGCCATGCGGACCCTGCCGCTAAGGCCTTCGTCGGGGCTCCCTTCGGGGCCACGAAACGTGTGAGGGGTGTGCCGAATATGGCGATGGTACGACATGCTGACCTTGCCGCTGGTGCCTTCGGTGGAGCCCGCATGGGGCCACGAAGAGAGTGAGGGGTGTGCCGAATCGAATGCGGATGCGCCATGCGGGCCCTGCCGCTGGGGCCTTCGGTGGAGCTCCCCTCGGGGCCGCGCAATGTGTGAGGGGTGTGCCGAAGTGGGCGCGGGCACGCCATGCGGGCGCTGCACTTGGGGCCAGCGGTGGAGCTCCCCATGTGGCCACGAAGTGTGTGGGGGTTATGCCGGATACGGCGATGTTACGACATGCTGACCCTGCCGTCGGGGACTTCGGTGGAGTTCCTTTCGTGGCCACGAAGCGTGTGAAGGATGAGCCGAATCGGGTCTGGGCACGCCATGCGGACCCTGCCGCTGGGGCCTCCCGTGGAGTACCCTTTTATGGGGCCGCGAAGCGTGTGAGGGGTGCGCCGAATCGGGTGCGGGTACGCCATGCGGGCCCTGCTGCTGGGGATTCCGGTGGAGCTCCCAATTGGGCCACGCAACGTGTGCGGGGTGTGCCGAATCGGATGCGGGTGCGCCATGCGGACCCTGCCGCTGGGGCCTTCGGAGGAGCTCCCTATGGGGCCGCGAAACGTGTGAGGGATGTGCCGAATCGGGTGCGGGTACGACATGTACGAAGCGTGTGAGGGATGTGCCGAATCTGGTGCGGGTGCGCCATGCGGACCCTGCCGCTGGGGCCTTCGGTGGAGCCCCCTTCGGGGCCACAAAGCGTGGGAGGGGAGTGCCGAATCGGGCGCGGGTATGCACGATGGTGATGGGACGAGGGCATATGCAGAGCAGAAGCTGGGATGGGAGGAGGGAGGAGGGGGAGGAGGAGAGGAGATGATATGAGAGGAGAGGAGAGTTGAGTTGAGAAGAGTAGAGGGACGCGGGGCTCTGTCTTCTCAAAACGAGAAGCCAACACCACAGGATGTTTAGATAACTATATCGGCGTACTTTTGGGGCTTTCTACTCCCCTAGCGACCGTCGCACTTGGTCGCTTGGACTCGCAATGTCCAGTGCACTCAGGTATCGCATGTACCACATTGGTGCAACACTCACGGATGGCCTGGACACGTGGAGCATATCTCAGAAGCGCGGTTGATCATTATGGTATACGCATGCGTGGCGCTTCGCGTTTGCCCTGCTCTTGCCCACTTGAGATGTGAGCTGCGGGCCGATTGTGCCAGGTCGGGCCGATACCTTCCCTTCCTCCTCCTGCTGCTGCTCGTCCTCGTGTCTCCTCCCTCTTCCCCCCCTGACGGGGCCCACCACCGCCCAGATCTTTGAGACGCCGCGCCCCACTTTGTCTGCCCCGACCGCCGTGGTCCAACGGCGGCTCCCCGTCGCGCTCCAAGCGGCTTGGCGGGCCCAATGGGCCGCGAAGTGGCCTCGGGGAGGCGCGGTCAGAGGAGCTACTTTCTAAGGCTGGGCCACGCTAGAACGAGGGGGGGGTAATCGAGTAGGAGAGCGAGGGAAGGAGGACTGGGGCCGGAGGGGTCGGCAGGGTAGAGGGGACGGGAGGGGATGGACAGGTAAAGCCGAGGCAGAGACACATTTTGCATGACACTTGCTCCCACTTGCCCCCAGCAAAAACTCCACCAACGCGCCGGCCCCAAGGTTCAAAACTGTGCTGCTGTGAGGTCTTCCAAGGCGTCTCCCGTGAGTTCTGGCGTGTTTCCCGCCAGTGCTCCGGACGCTGTGCCCGCCCATAACGACCTACCGAACCCTCCGATGCGTCCAAGAGGGTCCGGATTCGCAGACAGATCGCTCCAAGACGCCCAGAATGGCCTCCAGACGGTCCAAAAGGCCTCCAAGAGCACTCCCAAGAGGGCCCTGAGAGGCAAACATTTGGAGGATTTGGGCGTTTCCGCCTCTTCGGGTTCCCGACAGTCCAAGACGGCCAAGAGCATCGAATACCGCCCCAAGGCGGCCCAAGAGGCCCCCACGACGGCCCAAAAGGCCTCCGAGACGGCTCAAGAGGGCCCAAAGAACGCGAGGGGGGGAACACGAACCGACATGTCAAGCTCTCCGCCCCAAGTGGTCCCCAGGAGGCCCAAGAGGCTCACAAGAGGCTCCCAAGAGGCCTCCGAGAGGCCTCCAGTGAGCTCTCAGGAGACCCCCAAGAGGCCCCCAAATGGCCCCCAAGAGGCGTCAAAACTGACTCCAGGAGGCCACCGAGAGCCCTCTGAAGAGACCCCAAGAAGCATCCATAAGGACTTTGACCCACAACCCAAGCACGGTGGCGGGATGTCCCTGTCGGCTGCATGGGCCCAATGCAATGTGAACACCATGTGAGCCTTCCGTGCGAAATAATAGTTGGGGACCCTGATGGCCAAAAATTGTCATGGCGACGGATCCAGCCAGATGCAGCTGCGGGTACCGCAAATCAGGTGAGACGAAGGAGGGTGTAGAACAAACGGACTGGGCGTGGATGAGAAGGACGAAAGGCGAATCAGAACATGGCGGTCATGAGTGAGAAACGAAGTAGACGGTCTGAAGGACAACCGTGTAAGACGAGACCCCTCCTTACGACTGGCAGATATTGAGAGCGGGTCCGAAGGACAACCGCGGCGCAGAAGAAAGGACGAGACAGACATCCCGAATAAGGCGCTCAACAACTGAGCACATCGGCTAGGAATCTGCAACGAGACGTATGAGGAGTGTACCAGAATGCCACTAAAGCCTTCGGTGGAGTTCCCCATTGGGCCACCCGACGCGTGAGGGGTGTGCTGAAAGGGTCGGAGCGGGGCCATGCGGCCTTTGCAACGGGGGCCTTCAACGGAGCTCTTCATGGGGCCACGAAGTGCCGATACGGACATGCAGAAGGCAGGCACGAAGGGAGGAGGATGCGTAGAGCAGTGGCGAAGAATCCACGGGCGGATCGCCCAGAGCCGCTCCTACCATGCATGTTGCGTGCGATCTCACTATGCCTCCTGGAAGCATGACTCGCAACCGCTGCTGCAACGCGGTGGATCTGCTCACACATCGCCTTTGCATCAGGTGTCAACCCAAGGGTCGGAAGGTGACACGTGGCATTGCAAATCCACCAATCCACCATAAGCTAGCCGCAGGATGGTTCTGACAATGAAGCGGCAACACTCGCGTTGCAGGGCGCTCTTCTCTGGATGCAGCGACGACGCTGGTGTCGCCGTCTCGACGGTTGTGAAGCGATCCTGGAGGTTCTCGAAGGGGATAAGGAAAGCAGATGGGGGAAGAGGGGGAGGACCAGCAGCACCATTTTTTTTATCAGCGGGGACTCTGATGAACGAATAGTCACGCGTCTATCCGCTCGCAGACTGCGAAAACATTCAGCCTTGAGAAGGAAGCACGGAATGATATGAGTGCGGGCGGCCACGTTCGCCAAGGAAAGCAGAGCAGAAGGGATCGGGGGAAGGGGGAACCGAGAGACTCAAACAACGGTGCGGAGCCAAGTGGCGACGACACATGTAAATGAGCTGAGGGTATCCTTAACGTGCATGCACAAGCTCGCTTCTGACCGCTACTGCTGCGATGCAGAATATGCACATGGCCCGGTTAAAAATACGTGAAACGTCCACCGCCTGCAAACGAAAGACTGGCAGGTTGCATAAAAAACAAGCCAAGGCGCTGACCGAACGGGGGGAACGTCCGCGCGAGGGCCTCCCGCGCGACCTCCGAAGCTTGTGCTCATGCGAGCGCTTGTGCTTCGCCCTCCACCACCACCTCCGCCCCCACTCCCCCCCACAGCCCCCCCCCAAGTCCAGACCAGCCCCGCCCGAATCGTCGTAACCATCGGTCACTGACAACTGGCTGGTATCTTTGCCCAATCCAGTCGCTTAGCACGGGCCTGCCTAAGCAACGTTCTGCTGCTTAGCACTTTGGCGCTCTAAATGAGCACGGCCCTGCACGGAGGAGTACAAGGAAGAGAAGATGCCATGAGGGGGGAACAATGGGGTGGAAGGGGCAAGAGTCGATGACGACGAGTCCGCAGTAGGGGGGAAAGAAAGGCTTGTCCACAGCATTCGGGAGGGCTCCACGAACATCGAGAACTGCCAACTAAACAGCACCTCCCATCCCGCCACGCCCTCCACTCTCAACCATTTCTCCCCCCCACCGACGTGATTACAGCTCATGTGTCGAAAAAACCCAGCGCGATAGAAGCGGTGACGGCAGCGCTGCACGTGGACTGCCCATTCCAGCGGCTCTGAGCTGCGGCTGGTCATTTGAGGAGGAAGGGTATTCGTAGAAGATGCGAGACAAGACTCGGGTTGGTGACTTAAGACAGGAAGCAACGCTTGCACATCTCCGATCATGTCCTACCCAATGTAAGACTGCTGCCAGCGAGCTGGCAGCCTGACCATTGGTCGTGTCGCTACCATGGCGAAACCGACTGGCCTCCTCACAAGACCTCGTCCACCACCCTGTCGACGTCGTCCTCCTCCGCCTCATCCTCCTCCTGTGAAGCCGAGACAAGTCACACGCGTGGCTCGGTCGCTGCCCGAGGCCGATCATCATAAGGTGTCAGCTGCAACTTCCATCTGCAAACGATCACGGGGAACAAGTCGGCAGCCTCTCGCAGGCCGGCTTCGCCCCTGCGCCAACAGGAGTCGTCCCTCCCATCCCGCCGCTCTCGCCCTCCGCCCTCTCCTCCCCACAAGGGTGTGCGTGGCTCCGCCCTGCGCGCGAGGCCCGCGGCAGACTAAAAAAATAGACGGACGCGACGAGGCGCCGGAGCGGACTGGGGCCGTGTGTCAGCCCAGCTGCGACTGAGCAGCGCGGCGGCAGGATTGTGTTTATTTGGGCAAGGGCGGCTGCGACTCGCCCGCCCGCGCCTGCACTTGGCGACACCGAGCGGCAGAGATCGCTCAAAGTGCCGCGCGGGAAATGCAGTGCGGCAAACCGAAGTCGCCCCTGCCATGACTTGACCCTCAATTAACATTTCGCCGCGGTTCAAGCCCGATGGGTCGGAACGAAAAACCGGTTGAAGCCAGGAATCAGGCGCAGACAGACGACTTCTGCTTCACATCGTGGGCTGTATCCCAGTGCGACGGCTAATCTGAAAGGCCCTCCAATGCTACCTGGTCAAGTGGCGGGCACTCTCGTTTGCAGGATGACCTCCAAGCACAATTTTCAGAAACAACGAGCCTGTGCCAAGAATACTGCGACATCGACTTGCGCAGAATATTGTCGGCGCAAGCCACGTGCCACATGCTCATTTGGCAAACGTCTGCGAGGTTGCCGAGGTCTTCACCATGGTGTCTGTATTGTCCTCGCCAGAAGCCGCTGTCATGCATGTTCAAGCCGTGCTTAGCCAAGAACCATCCGAACCCCACATCGTCATTAGAATTCCACTTGTCGCCAAATTTGTCAATGGTCTGCATGGCCTCCTTGGCAAACTCTCTGGTCATGCACCAGCCATTGTTTGCGTACCGGGTGTCTCGACCCCGGAAACTCCTACTCACAACAACATCAGCCATCATGCACTTCTTACAATGTTTCGACATTTGGCTCAACTCAAGCTCCAGATTTGGAGCATGCACGTACAAATCATCGTCGAAGTAGCACAAATGGTGCTCCTGCCTGCGAGCCAGAAAATACTTCATGACATACAGGGTCTTGTTCCGCTGTGCCTGCATTCCTGGAACCTTCCTGCGTCTGTGGTGGTGGTAGTCATCAAACCTGTTTACGTTCGGTACCGCTTCCACGCAGGCGTTTGGAAAGACCTTTTGCAACCGATGACTCAGATTCACATTCTTGTCGTCGGAGAACAGGACAATACGACCAGGCGCCCATTGCCCCCAAGTGCTGAGAATGTCGGCTGCCCTTTGAATGTATTTCGGCTGACTGGACGACTTGATTGCGTAAAACACACTGGCGCCACCGATCCCGTCGTCGCACTCCAGGGTACAAGACGAAGTCTGCGACGATGACTCGAGGGAATGCGAATGGCACCCTCTGCAATTGAACCGCACGCCTCCAGACGTGCGCGCCAGGGCCAGCCAAGTCGCACCCCCGGCAATAGCGAGCACACCAGACACTTGCGCAAACCAAAGCTGCCTCATCCTGCACATGGGGGCGGGGGGGGGGCATCTCGCGGTTCTGGCACGCATGCAAGAGGCATCCCTTCTCTGTCTCCATCCTGGGCGCCAACGAACGGGCAGCACGGCGAGAGCGGGCGCGAACGGTTTGAGCCGAAGTGAGCTTGAGCCAAAATGGCTACGGAGGAGGACCAGCAGCACCATGATGAAGCTTGCCAGGAAACTCGAGATCCCAGAAGCCTGACTTATCCTTGCTGCTGCAGCGCGGTGACTCTGCTCGCACACGCCGTGGCACCAGGGTGTCGGCTAAAGTAACAGTCGACGACCCCAATTCGCCGCGGACCCCCCCCCTCCATCGCTCGAACGCTGCTTGAGTCAAGCGGCCGCAAGCGAACAAAGTGCTCTCGAGGTGGGCCATGTGGGAGCTTGATGCGACCTTCTGGGGGCGTCAATTGACCTCTCGAGGTTCACAGAAGGCGTTGCGGCCGGAGAAACGTCAATGGTTCAGCCCTCTCGGGGGCAGTCTGGAACCATCTTGCAGGCCTGATTGGATCCCCTGGTGACATTTGGATGTCATCGTGGGGTCACCTTTGGCCCTTGGAGCTCTCCAAGAAGCCTCCCGGGGCGTCTTGGGGTCCTCTCGGAACTACCAATCGATCAAACAAATCCCTACCTTGCTGAAAGGGCCTCCCGTGGGCCCTGCGACAGAAAACTGAGCGGGAACCCCTATTGAAGGTCGGGGACACCGCGCTGCCAAGCCCATCCTCTGTGTACTCTTTCTCCGCCTCTTGCAAAACCCTTTGCCTGGACGACTGATGTCATCGCTTATCGCCTACGACGGTTCGCACGACTGCGATGAGAACCCTGCGCGCCTGCTTCCGCCAGCAGGTGATATCTACAGCTGGTGAAGCAAAGCAGATCGTCAACGTGGGCGCCCTCCGTTTACATTCGTGCTCGTCTCTGCCTAGATTGTCGTTCCCTGCCTGCGGGTGGCAGCAGAGCGCCCACGGCACAGCAACACGAGACGAAAGAAGGCTGGACGTCCTAAGCCTGCTCCCCCTCCCCATACACCTGCTCCGCTCTTTCCTTACCCCTCTCTCCCCCTCTCCCTGGGCCACTCCTCCCTCCCCTCCCTCCTTCCCTACGGGAGGAGCGAGAGATGTAGGAAGCGCGTTTCTGTAGAGGGACCTCCTCAGGTAGCCAGCCAGCAGCCAAGGCCATTCTGCCAACTTCGTGGCGACCCCGCGAAAGGGCGAAATTAGCCTGACGAAGGACCCAGTCGTATGCAGTTGTGAGTACCGTCTTTGTGAGCAACGCATTCTGTGGAGCTCCCTATGGGGCCACGAAGCGCTGTGCTGGTTGTGGCGGACGCATGCGCCCCCCCACTGGGGCCTTCGGTGGAACTCCCTATTGGGCCACGAAGCGCTGTGCTGGGTGTGGCGGACGCATGCGCCCCCCTCCGCTGGGGCCTTCGGTGGAGTTCCCTATGGGGCCACGACGCGCTGTGCTGGGTGTGGCGGACGCATGCGCCCCCCTCCATTGGGACCTTCGGTGGAGCTCCCTATGGGGCCACGAAACGCCGTGCTGGGTGTGGCGGACGCATGCGCCCCCCCCCACATTGGGACCTTCGGTGCCACTGGGGCCTTCGGTGGAGCTTCCTGTGGGGCCACGAAACGCCGTGCTGGGTGTGGCGGGCGCATGCGCCCCCCCCCCACACACACACACTGGGACCTGCGGTGGAGCTCCCTATGGGGCCACGAAACGCTGTGCTGGGTGTGGCGGACGCATGCGCCCCCCCATTGGGGCCTTCGGTGGAGCTCCCTATGGGGCCACGACGCGCTGTGCTGGGTGTGGCAGACGCACGCGCCCCCCCCCCCCCCCACTGGGGCCTTCGGTGGAGTTCCCTATGGGGCCACGAAGCGCTGTGCTGGGTGTGGCGGACGCATGCGCCACCCCCACTGTGACCTTCGGTGGAGCTCCCTATGGGGCCACGAAGCGCCGTGCTGGGTGTGGCGGACGCATGCGCCCCTCCCCACACTGGGACCTTCGGTGCCAGTAGGGCCTTCGGTGGAGCTTCCTATGGGGCCACGAGACGCCGTGCTGGGCGTGGCGGTCGCATGCGGCCCCCCATTGGGGCCTTCGGTGGAGCTCCCTATGGGGCCACGACGCGCTGTGCTGGGTGTGGCGGGCGCATGCGCCCCTCCCACTGGGAACTTCGGTGGAGCTCCCTATGGGGCCACGAAACGCAGTGCTGGGTGTGGCGGACGCATGCGCCCCCCCCCACACTGGGACCTTCGGTGCCACTGGGGCCTTCGGTGGAGCTTCCTGTGGGGCCACGAAACGCCGTGCTGGGTGTGGCGGACGCATGCGCCCCCCCCCCACTGGGACCTTCGGTGCCACTAGGGTCTTCGGTGGAGCTTCCTATGGGGCCACGAAACGCCGTGCTGGGCGTGGCGGGCGCATGCGCCCCCCCCCCCCCCCCACACTGGGACCTGCGGTGGAGCTCCCTATGGGGCCGCGAAGCGCTGTGCTGGGTGTGGCGGACGCATGCGCCCCCCCCCCATTGGGGCCTTCGGTGGGGCTCCCTATGGGGCCACGACGCGCTGTGCTGGGTGTGGCAGACGCATGCGCCCCCCCCTCCCCACTGGGGCCTTCGGTGGAGCTCCATATGGGGCCACGAAGCGCCGTGCTGGGTGTGGCGGACGCATGCGCACCCCCACTGGGACCTTCGGTGGAGCTCCCTATGGAGCCACGAAACGCAGTGCTGAGTGTGGCGGACGCATGCGCCCCCCCCACCCCCCACTGGGACCTGCGGTGGAGCTCCCTATGGGGCCGCGAAGCGCTGTGCTGGGTGTGGCGGACGCATGCGCCCCCCTCCATTGGGACCTTCGGTGGAGCTCCCTATGGGGCTACGAAACGTGCGGGAGGTGTGCCGAGAGCAAAGGCAAGGAGGGGGAAGAGGGAGGAGGGGGAGGAGCGGGAGGAGGGAGGAGGGGGAGGAGGAAGGAAGGAAGGAGGAGAGGCGCGGGGCACCGTCTCTTCAAAACGAGGACCCAACACCACAAGATGTTTGGGAACAACAAGGACAGTCCATTGAGGGGCGCACGCCCCTCCTACTCGTCGTGTAGCATCCGCTGCTTCCTCTTCTTTTTCTTATTCTTCTTTTTCTTCTTCTGCTCTTTCTCCTGCTTTTCCTTCTCCTTCTCCAACTCCTCCAGTAGCTCCTCCCCGACGGGGCAATGCCTGTCCCGAGGCGGCTGTAGGTGGATGCCCCAGGAAGCTCCATAACCCCATGGTGTCTCGCCATTGCCAATGATTCCCTCAGACGCCAACGCAAATATTCGCGACGCGGTGGACACGGCCATCACCGACACGAGCAATGTCGTCGTCACGATGTCCGCAGCGTCACTGCTGACATCCACTTTTCTTCCAAACTTCCCGCCGTTTTTCTCCCGAAGATGCCTCTGGAGCCACGGACGTGGCAACCGCCTGGCTGCTGTCGGACTCGACGAGCCGGGGCACCACGGCGGCCAGCAACTCAGGGGCTTGGCCTGCGCGCGCATCTCTCGAGCTTGAGCAGGACTTGAGAAGCTGGACTTGACACGTTGGGTCGGGTCGTGCCCCTCAGAGAAGCCAGCTTGGTACAGACGACTGGGGCACCCTGTGTAACCCTCGGGTCCTGCGCGGGGGTTCGGGGAGGAGCAGGCCCACGCATTCTTTCGGGCCTGCACGGCCTGAGCTAGCATCGTGCCAACTTGAAACAACAACACATTCAAACAAAAGACGTCCTCTCTGAAACGGCCTCTTAAAGCTGTCAAGTCATTCGAACGCTCTGATATCGCCCCCCATCAGGACAAGCCTCAGAGGCCCGTGGCTGCTTTCTGGACGCTGTCGCTCGAGCATGTCGGTCCCGAAGTTCGACAACACAGCCTGAATTCGAATCTGAGGCATCGATGTTGATTCTTCCCTGGCAGGAGCAATGGGCAGCCAGAACGGAACCCATACAATCTACACCACCATAACGGGCGTACTCGAATCTGGGCCGGCACGGGAACGAAAATTGCACTCTCAGGAACTTCCCCGAGATGGCTCACCACACCGTTCGCTCGTGGGAGACTTGGCGTTCAGAGTTCTTTGGGTCATGGTTTGGACAGGGAGCCTTGGCGAGAAAACTGTCCACGTCATCGTTCGTACCGGGAGCCTTGGCGTTCGGAACTTCTAATGTCATCGCGAGCCCCTGGGAAAATTTGCGTTCAAAACATTTTACGCCACCGACCGGCCAACACGCGTGCTCTCCGCACGTGGCGTCAACGCTGTCCGTCACTGGGCCGTCTGCGGGCGGTTTCCAAGAACTCCTCCCATTAGAAGCCGTTCTGGATATGGCTTCCAAGGATTCCTCCCACTGGAAGCCTTGCAGAAATCCATGAACTGGGCCTGACGGGGCATTCTGGACGTCCTATTGGGATCCTGTTGCGCCGTCTTGGAACCCTGTTGGGTCGTCCTGGGATCCTGTTGGGCCGTCTTGCGGGGCTCTGGCTGTCTTGGAGCCCTCCTGGGCTCTCTTGCAGCCCTCTTGGGGCTCCCTTGGGAGCCTCTTGGGGTCCTCTTGAGCAGTCTTGGGGCCCTCTTGTGCCGTCTTCAGACCCTCTGGGGGGGCCTCTGGATTTGGCTTGTGGCGATCTGTGGGGCCTCTTGGGACGTCTTGGGCCGTCCGAATCCCGGAAAGGCGAGACCCCTAACATAATTCAGAAGCCGAACCACAGAAGTCATTGCTTTTGGACTCCTGCGGTTCTCCTGCGGTCCTCTGAGGCCGCCTTGGGACCCTGTATAACCATCTGGAAGACATCTGAGGCCATCTTGGAACGCTCTTGGACGGGCTGCGGCTCTCTTGGAACGCTCTTCGGCCGTCTCGAAATCCTCTTGGACCTATGTTGGGCCGTCTTGAGGACCTCTTGGTCCTTCGGGGGGGGCTCCTGGGTGGAGGGGCGGGCGTGTTACCTTGGATTGGTCCCGCTTCGCCCCTCCCCTGGAACACAACGTCGCCCCACCAAAACGTTATCACTCGTACCCTGTTCTTTCCGTCATCTGGGCTTGCACGGGAACGGAACATGCGCTTCAGGAACTTGCCCGAGAGAGCTCATGGCACCGTTCGCTCTAGAGAGTCTTGGCGTGAAGGGCTTTCTCACGTCACCGCTCGCTCTTGGAGCCTTGGTGTGAAGAGCTTGTTCACGTCGTCAGTCGCTCTTGGTGGGCTTCGCGTTAAGGGCTTCTTAGGTGGGAGCCTTGGTGTGAAGAATTGTTTACGTCACCGTTCACTCTTGGGAACCTTGGAGTTGAGAGCTGTTTACGCCGCCGTGCGCTCTAGGGAACCTTGGCATTACAAGCTGTTCACGTCATCGTTGGCTCTGAGGAGCCTTGGCGTTAAGGGGGTTCTGCACCACTGCTCGCTCTTGGGAACCTTGGCGTTCAAAGCTTCTTACGTCACCGACTCGTGTATAAGAACTTTTCAATCACCTGGTGCTCTTGGGAACCTTGGCATCAAAACTGCGTCCGTCATTGGGCCGTCTGGGGCAGGGTCCCCTGTGGGCCCTTTCGGGGCCCTGTTGGGGCATTCTGGGGCTCTCTTGGGCCGTCCTGGGAGGCTTGGCTCGTCTTGGGTTTCTCTTCGGACCCTCTTCGGCCTCTGGTGAGGCTATCACACTCTCGGGGCTCTTTGAGGAGCCTCTTTGGGCCCTCTTGGGCCGTCTTAGGGGCACTCTGTGGCAATCTTAGGGCCCTCGTAGGCCGTTTTGGGGCCCTCTTGGGAGCTTCAGGACCCATATTGGGGCAATCTCGGAGTCACTCAGGGCGGTATTCGGCCGATCTGGGCCCGGAAAAAGAGAATCCCAAATGCAATGAAAAACATATGGTCACCACATGTGTTGCTTGCCTCCTCAGGCAAGCTTGGTGGTCCTCTTAGTAAGCATGTTAGGCCGTCCTGGGGGCCTCTTTGCCGTCTTGGAGCTCTCTTGGGCCCTCCCATTGCCCTCTTTGGCTTTCTTGGGAGCCTCTTAAGGCCCCTCTCGGGGCTCTCAGTAGCCGTCCTGGGCCCTCATGGCAGCCTCCTGGCTCGTCTTGGGGCAATCGTGGATGCCCTCAAAACAATTTTCGGATGATCTAGGCCAGAAAAACAGAAACCCACATAACAATGATACACCTACGGAACCTCACTGCGTTTACATCCTCAAGCCACATGGAGGGTCCTCGTGGGAGGCTCTTGGGCAGTCTTTGGGGGGCCTCTTGGGCAGTCTTCGGGGGCTTGAGCCGTCTTGGGACCCTCCTCGGCCCTCTTGGGGGCCTCCCAAGGCCTCCCTGGGGCTCTATTAGGCGCCTCTTGGGCCCCTCCGGGGACCCTCTTGGGCCGTCTTGGGGGGGTCTTGGGGGGAGGGCGGGCGTGTTGCCCGGGATTGGTCCCGCTTCGCCCCTCCCCTGGAACACCTCCCTGGAAAAACGTTGCCCCACCGAAACGTTATCACTCGTACCCTTTCATGTCCGTCATGCGTGTCAGCTGTCGGGAGGATCTGCTGTAGTTTTCAAGACGGCACCCCCTCGTCCTAGAACTGTGCAAGCGAACGTTCTCGCAACGGACCCCAAAATGGAGCAAGACCGTTCCCAAAAAGCTGTGGGATGCCCCCCCCCAGCCGGCCTAAGACGGCCAACGAATCTGGAGAGGTCCCAAGGTGTCCCACAGGGGTCCAGAGATGTGCAAAAGAACACAGCCCACCAGTTTCCAAAGAGCTACGCTTCATGTTCCATACGAGGCTGAACACATAGATCAACTGTTTGATCGTTCAATGCTCTTTGTTTACAGAGAACTCCCGATGGCCCCGAGACGGCCCCACCTGGCCCCGAGAGGTGTGCGCGCGGCCCTGCCAAGAGAGCCATCCGAGGTCACGTGTGGTCTGACGGGCGCGGCTGCGGACCCTGGCATTCGCGCGCGTGGTGGTTGGGCAGGGTGCAAGGAGGAGGGGAGGAGTTTGGGAATTACCCTGCCGGCCAAACGCAGAGCAACGCACGAGAGGCCCTCCGCTAGAATTGTAAGATCTGAATATGACCTGCAAGATGGCACCATGTAGCCGAAGTCAGCTCAAGATGACTTCCAACTTGCCTCCAGGAGGCCCCAAGACTGCACCAAGTGACCACTTCGCCTCCGAAGAGAGCCGCGTAGAGGCTAGCACGATTCAACACCTAACAGTTGTCACTGCGTTTGCAGTACTGCCTCTCCAGTTCCGATGGGCTTCTGACGCCTTGAGATGGCCCCAAGAATGCTCGAGAAAACCAGCACGAAAACCAACACATGGAAGACGTCCCCAGGAGGGCCCAAGAACGCCCCAAGAGAGCTGAAATAGCGAATTTGTCAGGCTCCGATAGGGGGGTACTAATCGAGGGATCCCTTTGTGATGGATGTCCTTCAAGATGGCCCCAGGAGCCCAAGAGTGCCCCAAGAGAACCCCCAAGAGGGCTCTAGAAGCTCCCAGAATGGCTCCAGAAGGGCCCCAATATAGCTGTAAGAGGCCTCCAACAGACTCCACGAGCAAACGATCCGCGAGGGGCTTTATTCTGGTTGATTCGTGTCGTCGTCGTTGTCGTCGCCTTCTTCCTCCCCGAACCTCATCCTCCTCTCCCTCCTCCCCCTCATCATCCCACCTCCTCCGCATTATCCACTTTCTCCTCCTCATCCTCTTCCTCGTCCTCCTTCTTTTGCTTCTTCTCACCTCCCGCCGAAAATTCACCTGCATCTGGGCTTGAACGTGTTCCGCCGATTCCCATGTGCTCGCCCTTCTCCTCCTTCTCCTCTTCATTCTCCGCCTCTGCGCCTTCTCGTCCTTCTCTTTCTCCTCCTTCGTCCTCCATTCTCCTCCGCCGCTTCATCCTCCTGTCCCTTCCCCTTCTTCCCCCCTCGAAAGATAATGACTGCCCACTTTTCTGTTCCACTGCATGCTCGTACACTGCCCAAATCAGGGTACCTCTCATGGGTATCGTTCTCGGATGGGCTGGTGGGGATCATACGAGAAGCGTCAAGAGTATAATCGTTGAGAATCAATGGGTAACCTCGCCCGCCACGCCACTCTGGCCGACTGACTCGCTCTTCAACCCCCCCATAACGCGATCCAGCCTCTCACGTTCTCCGCAGGACAGCCCGCGCCCACCCCGCACTCGATCCAGGCCCCCACGCTTATTAAGCAACCAAGAATAATTATTCCGAATAGGTCGTGAATCACCTACGTGGCTCAGACACGGTAGACAATCTTCTTGACGTGATAGTCCCAACACTGTCCGCACGGTCAACAAGAACTACCTCGGCCCGCAACGCTCGAATCATGCCTAGGAGGCGAACGTAACCGAAGCACCCGCATGAACATCCAATCCAAACGGCACCGCGGCAGGACTGCGAATGCACAGCGTCCAGCTGGCTGGCTTGGCCCCACTGCCACACTCGAGCGCGTAATGCAAAGGTCGCGCGTCAGGGGGCGGCTGCCCGAAAGCTCGGGCGTCGCCCACCAGCCGTCGCCTACTATTGCTAATCACAAGTAATCTGCCCGGGTGCGCTGACGCACGCAATGTCTACCTTCGCAAATCTACACTATCCTGATTGTGCTCGTCGGCATCGGATTGCAGTAATGTTGCCCAGTCATTCCACAACATTCCAACTACTCGGGGATGCCCCTGCGCCGCTGGTGTCAACAATCGCATATTCTCGGGGCTTCACGGGGTCACTCTCCGGTGCGCTCGCCACCCTCCCGTCTAGCAATGCAGTCTAGCAGTGACTGCACACCGCGGTGAGGAAGAGCGGATATTGCGCCACGACCACCGAAGCAGGCGGCACATGCGCAGACGCCATCTCTCCAAGCGGCCTGGACACGTTGTGTTCGTCACCGAGGAGCTTCATCAAAGAAAACTCAATGACCAAGCGATGTCAACGACTGGCACAATCAACCATCTCGCTGGACATCTTCCACAGAAAATGGCCGCAATGTGGGGCCGGATTTAAGTAGCCAGAAGGGGCAAGCAACGGAGGCGCACTAGGGGCAGCGTCCATGATGGGCAAGGTCAGCCACGCACTAAAATGTCTCCTCCCGTCTGGGAATCACCATATGAGGGATGTACAGCGAAACGAAATTGACTCGGGGAAGAACACCATATATATAAAATACCAGTGGGGGAATTCCGAGAAGACTTGTGAACATCTTTATGTGCCGGCCTCCCTGGAACTTAAGTTCTGGGTGAATCCAACGCCCCGTGGCATTTTGGTAACAACATCGGAACTGATTGGACCCCTCGTCCCGTGAAAACTAACCACGCTGGCGGTGCTCCACGCGCCCGGCGAAGTTCCGTGCACTCAATACTGATAGCACAAATCAGCGAGACACTACAAACTATTTGCTGTAACTGGTATCGGTTGTCAACGCTCGTAGGCCTCTGGCGTGCAGCATGAACGCTCTGCACCAGGATGGGAACATAATCACGCCTCGAGCATCATGGTGGCAAGGATTATTACATAAGTGCGATGGCGAAACAAACATGACAAGGAGGATCAGGGAGCGGACGACAACGATGAAGATGAACTCATGAGTACGAGTATCATAGTGAGGGCGTTGGTGCAAATTATGTTCGGAAGCGATATGATCACGAACTCAGTTGCGAGAAAATATTCATATTCGGGAAAGCACTGCGCGGGCTCAATACGCCTGCACATTGACAAGGCAATGAGGCGAACCGCTCACCATCAGCGAAACGAAAGCGGAAGGCAGGACGATAGACCACCCGGACGTGTCCATGAACCATCCTGCCGTCCTTCCCCCATGGCCTTCATCGTGTGGTACGGAGGAAGGGGCAATACTGGCTAACTGTGGGAAAAAACAGTAAGGGCGAGCTGTGGAACCCCGGAGGAGGAGGAGGAGGAGGAGGAGGAGGAGGAGGACGACGACGAGGAGAAGTTAAGGAGGAGGAAAAGGAAGACGATTCAGAATACGCACAGGACGACAGAGCGGGGAAAAAACAAGGACAACCCCCCTTGCCTGAGGCTTGCGCGCCCGGGCCATCGGGCGGGGCCACTGCGACCGCGCCAGCAATCGGCTCCTGGGCATCGCCTGAGCATGGCCACACGGGTCCCGACGCGTCTGCTGGAACATCGGCTCCTTGAGGGAATGTCAAAACACGTTTGTGTTGTTCATGTTGTTGCTGTTGTTGTTGTTGTTGGTGTGGCTGTGGTTGATTTCATTTCTGAAGAATCATTGTTGTTGATCCCCCCACCGGTACACATTGTATTGTTTCAATTGAAGTGCCTTCCCCGGGGCTCGAACCTTGTTTTTTATCAAGGTAAGTCTTGAAGCTCAAACTGGGCCCCTGGCCCCCGGGTTACAACAACAACGGATCCCGCCTGAGATTTCCTTACGCTTTATCCGGGACCCCCGCTCCCGCCTGAGACTTCCTCGCATTTATTTCAGGAATCGCGCTCTCGTTTGGGGCCTCCTTACAATTTCTTCAGGAGTCGCTCTCTCGGCGTTATGGAATCGCGCTCTCGCTGGAGACTCGCTTGCAATTAAATAAAGAATACTCCCTTGCGTTTGAGTATCCCGCAATTTACTTAAGAGCCGCGCCCCCGACACTCAGGCACCCAGGACTCGCGGCCACGCTTAGGACTCCCTCACAGACTAGTTAGGGATCGGGATCTCGCTGCCCTTCGTGGCCCCGTAGCAGCCCTTCGTGGCCACCCTCGCTGCCCTTCGTGGACCCGTTGCAGCCCTTCGTGGCCACCCTCGCTGCCCCTCGTGGCTCCATTGCAGCCCTTCGTGGCCCCCTCGCTGCCCTTCGTAGCCCCGTTGCAGCCCTTCGTGGCTCCCTCGCTGCCCTTCGCGGCCCCGTTACAATGTTTCGTGGCCCCCTCGCTGCCCTTCGTGGCCCCGTTGCAGCCCGTCGTGGTCCCCTCGCTGCCCTTCGTGGCCCCGTTGCAGCCTTTCGTGGCCCCCTCGCTACCGTTCGTAACCCCGTTGCAGCCCACTCGTGGCCCCCTCGCTGCCCTTCGTGGCCCCATAGATGTATGCCCTTCGTGGCGCCCGCTCGTTCGCGCCCGTCGTGGCCCCAGATGCATGCCGTTCGTGGCCCCGCTGTCGCCCTTTGTGGCCCCTTCGCTGCCGTTCGTGGCTCCGTTGCTGCCCTCAGTGGCCCCGTCCTTGCCCCCCGCGGCCCAATACACGTATGCCCTTCGTGCCCCCTGCTCGTTCGCGTCCGTCGTGGCCCCATTTGCATGCCTTTCGTGGCCCCGCTGTCGCCCTTTGTGGCCCCCTCGCTGTCCTACGTAGCCCAGTTGCTACCCTCAGTGGCCCCGTCGTTGCCTTCGGTGGCCCCGCATTATCTGCCCTTCGTGCCCCCGCTCGTTCGTGCTCTTCGTGGACCCATACGCATTCCATTCGTGTCCCCCGCTCGTTCGCGCTCACGCATTCCCTTCGTGTCCCCGCTGTCGCCCTTCGTGGCCTACTTCGTGCCCTTGGTGGCCCTGCTGTCGTTCTCTCTCTCGCTCTCGCTCTCGCTCGTCGTCGCCGTCGCCGTCGTCGCCGACGTCGTCGTCGGCGTCGACGTCGTCGTCGTCGTCGTCGTCGTCGTCGTCGTCGTCGTCGTCGTCGTCGTCGTGGTCGGTCCCTTGTCCGTCCCTCTTGGGGTCGGGTCGGCGGTCCGCGGCCGCCCCGCCGATCAGCGCTGCCGCTGGCCAGGCCGACGGTCCGCGGCCGCCCCGCCGCTTGCCAGGGCCCGGCCTGTCGGGAAGAAAGGCATACCCCCAAAAGGGGCACGATCAAAGACGAAAGGGGCGGGCATCGAGGGTTTGGGAAATACGCGTTAACGGGCACCCGAGCAGATACGAGCGAACAGTCTTGAAATTATTGTTGAATTCTCACTTCTGAGGAACAATTATTGCTGATCCCCCCCACCGGTGCAGATTATTCTTCTCAATCAAAGTGTGCCCCTCGACGCTCGAAGCATGTTTTTTTGGCAGGAAAAATCTTGATGCTCAAACTGGGCCCCTGGCCCCCGGGTTACAACAACAACGGCTCCCGCCTGAGACCTCCTTACGATTTAGCCAGGACACCCGCTCCCGCCCGAAACCTCCTCGCATTTTATGCAGGAATCGCGCTTTCGCTTGGGTCTTCCTTACAATGTATTCAGGAATCGCTCTCTCGGCGCTCTGGAGTCGTGCTCTCGATGGAGACTTGCTTGCAACTTACTGAAGAATGGCCTTGCGTTGGAATTTCCTGCAATTTGCCCAGGCGCCGCGCTCCCGACACCCAGGCACCCACTACGTGGTCCAGTTGCTACCCTCAGTGGCCCCATCGTTGCGTTCTGTGGCCCCGCATTATCTACACTTCGTGTCCCCCGCTCGTTCGCGCTCACGCATTCCCTTCGTGTCCCCGCTGTCGCCCTTTGTGGCCTACTTCGTGCCCTTGGTGGCCCTGCTGTCGTTCTCTCTCGCTGTCGCTTTCGCTCGTCGTCGCCGTCGCCGTCGTCGTCGCCATCGTCTTCGACGTCGTCGTCGTCGTCGTCGTCGTCGTGGTCGGTTCCCTGTCCGTCCCTCCTGGGGTCGGGTCGACGGTCCGCGGCCGCCCCGCCGATCAGCGCTGCCGCTGGCCAGGCCGACGGTCCGCGGCCACCCCGCCGCTTGCCGGGGCCCGGCCTGCAGGGATTCTATTCTATTCTACCGCTATGCGTGGTGACCTGCAGCTAGGCGGGGCACGCTGGGCCAATTCACAAATCAGGGAACCTTCCTCCAGACTTAGGAGGCAATCCCTTCTTCAGACGGCTGAGCACTTCGTGGCCAGCACGGGTGGGTGGCAAACATTCCACCTTGAGGTTCCTTGGGTTCTCCACGCAGTGGCACCCGCAGACCTGGCAAAACAACGCTCCTCTGAGAGTGGCGAGCTGATGCGAGGCATGGCACAGCTCGGCCACAGGATGATCCGTTCCCCCACCCACTCCCGCCTCCAACGGCCCAAGATCATCAGGAGGAGGTGAGGGCCCCCTGCCAAGAGGGTCTGGTGCACTCCTAGCAGGGAGGGCGCGAATTCGCTGATTTATCCCAGCACGGGGTTTGCAAATACAAAGCCAAAATTCACAGAGGGGGCCTCGACGTGCGAACGGGCGTGCGCACAAACGACACTTAAAGGACGAGGAACGCACCACGCAGTCATGACCCGAGTCACGGAGCCTGCATAGTCGCTCATCCAGAGACCTTACAGAGGCACGGGCGCGTCCAATTCGTCGTACTTTCCCACGATCAGAGCAAAACAAAACCTCCCTCTGGACAGACAGAAGGCGGCCCAAAACCTTGAAAGCCCGCTCATCGGCCTGGAAGGTCCGTTGGGCCGCATCTTCTGTCACCTGGCCAGCATCAGCAGCCTTGCCCGCAAAAAAACAATCAGCGGCTTCATTGAGGTAGACCTCCGTATCACTCAAAACCATGTGAAACGCCTGAGCCTGGGCGGGGTGACCTTTGGTCCAACGAACATCAACCGTACCGCCCCGAGCCCCCAGGACCTCATGGTAGGTCTTCCAAAGATCAAGCAAAGACGATTTAGCCTTCATACTTAGGGACGGCCATATTGTCTGAATATACCCTGACATTGCCAGTTGAGCGCATAACCAGCTGTACAAGTGCAAATAATTCGGCCCGACCAGCAGGCGCAGTGTCCCACTGGCTACGCCGTCAAAGAGGCCTGCTGGACCTTGGCGGACGATCGCCCATCCACATCGCCTAAGTCGCCAGTCTTTATGATACCTACCTCCGCTGCCGTCAATTCCCCAGACACCCCCTTCCACGCGAGCTCCCGCACTTAACTTTCCCCAATCCCAAGAGAGCTCCATGGGCTCGGGAAGGTGGCCAACACTGGCGGACAAGGGCGGGAGCCCACGCATCCAGAAACAGGAGGCTTCAGGAGAACTCAGAGCTTCAGCCTTGAACTCATTCGATCGGTCGATCGCGCTGTCGGGGATATCATCATTACATCTGCAGGACCAAAATCGATGGGCAGCAGTCTCGGCCCCGAGGCCGCACCTAGGGCACCTGCCATTAGTCGAGGACTCGTAGCCCGCCTTAGCAAGGCGGTCCTCAGTCCAAAAGCCAGCGGTCAGAACATGCCTAATCATTCCAGCGGCTTCAAAAGAGCCTTCCTTTTCAAGTTTCCTCAAAAACGTCCGAGGGGCAGTGAAATCAACTCCTCCTCCTAAACCAGCTCCTTCATAATGTTTTGCAGCCCCGCTCCACGACATGTCCCCGCACACCTCCACGAGCGTGCTCCAGAGGGTGTGGGGGAAGCCTGGTCGCTGGAGCGGACGTGCATTCCATTGGGAAAAATCAAATATGCTGGGCTACGCGGTACCACATTGAGGTCAGGGAGCACCGCAACTGTAGCCGCCAATGGACCACGCACACATTGCCACCGATGCTTGGTCTTGCTGAACTTCGCAACTACAATGTCCCAGCATCGTGAAACCTCCAGTCGTTTTGTGTGCGCAAGGTCCTGCCATGCATCGCAGAAACTCACAAGCTGCCCATAGCGAAGCCTAAACTGGGGGTCATCCTTGGCAGGACTGATAAGCCCCAAGACAGCGGTAGTGCAGGCCCCAGGGTTCCATCTACCACTGCGCATGGCCGCTTGGGCTCTCATAGACTGGATTTGCCCTGGAGTAAGCCCCAACACCTGGTGGGACCACGAGCCGACAGCAAGGGCCCCAGGTTTATACAATCGCCTCGCGGATCCAACAATACGGGCCAGAAAAGCAACCTTTTTAGCCTTCTTGGAGGCCTGGCAGCGTCGTTGCATCAACTTCACAGTAGACCTCTTTTTCCCCTCCGTGGTCATGACCCCCAGATCTCGAGTTGCAGCCTGTAATTGAATATGCAACCCTGTCGCCCTGAAGCGGGCGGCAAGCTCACGTCCAAGGTCGGTATGGCTGCGCACAAGAGCAGACTTGCCAGAAATGGTGCAACCAACTTCTTCAAACTGGTGGGTCAACAACATGGCGGCAGGCGCTGGAGAATCCAAAATTTCCTTCATATTTCCAACCTGAGACTGGGTAATATCGTCTACATAGGATGTAACCTGGACGGGGCGATACTGCACATGAGCCAAGTCCAGGATATCATACA